GCTGTGTGGCAATTTTAGAGCCTAGTACTTATGAATCATCTCTTGATGGGCTAACATCATTGATGTATGATAAGTAGTATCTATGAGTAATACTGGTCTGAATTCTGATGCTCTGTACACTCATATGCATGGTAGAACAGCTGGTTAGTGTGGAGTAACATGTAAACACTGAGGCCAACGAAATATCAGAGTCCTACATTATAATTTTTTTAACGATTTATGTGAAGTCCCTCTAAAATTCATCCATCCTGGAAAATTTATACCAATGAACGGATTGCATGGTAGTCAATTATAGGTACCTTTATAGTGATGCTTGTCCTTTCAAATTCAAGTAAAGCGGCCTGTCTTGGACAAATCTTGTATATTGCCACCTTGGCAGTACATTGTGTTTTGTTGCTTGCCAAGCTACCCTATCAATCAGACTGCAATGCCATAACAAAACCCATTTGCTCCGAAATCAAGATACACACGCGAAGCAACCACCGATATGGTGTGACCTTTGAAGCCAAGGAAGATAAGATCCATCAATATATCTCCACGCGAGGTTGGATTGGATAAGATCGTGACAATTCGTAAGCCATTCTCTACAACTGAACTAATCCAGCATGCCAGGTATACCTATTAATGCATTATGCATAATAGGAAAATACATTAGTTTGAGCATGGCAGCTAGCCCAGTTTAACATAAGTGTTTCCAACCAAATGTTCCTTTAATTTCTAAATGAATAGTGGAGTGCTACTCCAGTTGGATGTCACTGTCAGTATTGTATCAACCACGGAGACTATTAAAAACCTGGCCGATTGCTTGTCGGCACAGCATGCATGCCAGTCACCAAGCTGCGTTTCAGTGCAATGCGACGACAGATCCAAAGCTTCGAATCTCTCTCGCGTCGCAATGTGTGGCACCATGGGTTTCGGTGGACAAAGTCACATGATAAGAGTATGGCTGGGACCGTGTGAATTATTCCAAAGGATTTTGTTTACAGATTTTGCTGGGGCTTCAATCTAGGATCGATGATCATGAACGTGACGTCAAATGAATTTTAACAAGGTCACCAAATCACATGTTTCAACGTCAAATTAATTATAAGCTACAAGATATCTGTAAAGCGCAGTGACTAGTTTACCAAGGGCATGTTTGGATAAAGGTTAATTATTAGCTAGCTAAAAATAACTAAAATTAGCTCTAGTGCATCCAAATAGGTGGGTTAATTTTAGAGCCAATCCTTCAACTGGTTGTTAGCCAACTAACTAACCAACCTCAGGTAATTTTTATCCCCAACTAATAACTAACCATGCGTATCATATAGACCCTGAATAACTATTGTGAGTGAAGCCAAAAAAAAAAAAACAATACAATAAACATGCACAAAGATATGTTCTTTTTTATTCGTGTAGGATGACTGAGGCTAATAAATATCTCGCTCGTGATCTTTTCCCGGATGTTTTAATTTTGGGTGCACCTTTTCTTCACTTTTCATGCCTTTCCTTTGAGGAGCATCATTCATTCACTATCTTTTTCCTCTGAGATGATCGATCTGTATCGTTTTGTCTGTTGAGTTCATTCATATCTCGCCGTATCCATGGATTGACCCGAAAGGAAATTGACCAGAATATGTTCTGGATTTCTTACGGGGAAACAGGAATCCACATTTCCTTTCAAATTATCCTCAGCAACACATCATAGATCAGCACACAGTACGAGGTCTCATGCCTGCCTCACCTCAGCGTCTGCTTCCGCAACTTCGCCGTAATTTTTTCCTTTCGGACGGTTAGATTAGATATACTACCTTTTCGAAACAAAATACAGTTTTAACATAGTATCAAATCAAATTATTTTAAATTCTAACAAAATTTATATAAAAGTATCGATACAAATAAGTGTCATCAGATTCGTTACGGATTATATTTCACAGTATACCAATTTTGTCCGGAGTATTAATATTTTTTCCTATAAATTTGGTGTAATTTTAAATAGTTTGATGAAAGATAGAAGTATAATTATATCCTTTTTAGGAAGGATGTACGAATGCATGGGGCCCTTAGATTGAGTTTAGGTGATCGATGAACACAAGGTTTTATAGGGTCACTGGTAAAGGATTACTCACATCAGGGTCACTTGGTTTTCTTTGCCACCAGTGTTTGGATTCAATATTTGACTTAAGGATATTCATGAAGGCTAAGTACACAATAATGTCTACATGCGGATTTGGTGTTAGGAGCACTTAGAATTAGCATTAGGGCTTTTGTTTATCTTTGGTCGTACTATTAAGGGGTCGAGATTAGTATCTTGATCAAAGTTGCAGACAAGAGCATTTTGGGCATACCTGAGAGTTACTTCGAGCAAGACTTATCAAGAGTGGTTGGACCATATAGATAATAAGTCTAAGATCTTAAAGAACTTGAATTAGACGAGATTGGAATTCAAATGGAGCCAGAATTGGAGTTTAATATGCACCAGATCAGTTGATTAAGGCCATCAGATCATCCGGTAACACTGTGCCATACTTAGTGTTAGGCAGTGTCACTCACCATATGATACGATGAAGGATCTTGAGTGGACCGGTAGCATCTCATGCCACTATGCAGAGTTGAAGTTCAACTTGGACATGCTTGTTGGAGTGCACATGATGATCTAGCGGCACCTTGATGGGGCCGACGGATCATTAGGTGATATTGTGCAACCGTTAGAACATTGGATGATCTAGTGATTCTTAGGGCCTGTTTGGCAGGGCTCCTCGCCGGCACCGGCTCCGGCTCCTCCGGAGGATCCCTGCCAAACATTGTTCCGGAGGAGCCGTTTTACAGTGAAAACAGAGAAGCCGCAGCCGTTTTGGAGGAACCACAAATTGTGGCTTCTCCAAAATGGCTCCGGCTCCTCCGTAAGAGCCCCTTAAAAGAAGCCCTGCCAAACACCCCCTTAGTGTACTCAACGGATCATCCGGTGTTGACTTCTTCATCGTCTTTTTTCGAATGGCTAGATTCTCACCATTGAGCTATATATAGCCATTCTCACCCTTGAGCTATATATGTGTGTATTGTAGCTCATCTTGAGTTCTCGCTAAGCATAGACAGTTACACATATTGCTAGGCTTACACAAGGGTTTGAGGGCAGTTCAAGTCAAGAGGAGGGCTTGTGAGTGACTTCTCGTGTGCATATTTGTACTATTGGATTGAAGTTGGATCAAGTGAAGATTGAAAACTTGTTACTCTCGTGTTTGCCAGGTCCTAGATGACCTAGTGGAAGACTGTATGACCTTTCCCATGGAGTTGATCGTCGGAAGGCTCCTAGCATTGTGCTTAGTTAGAGACTCGTCAATCTAGAGTAGATAATGGGTACTCCTAGTGGATGTTGAGCCTTAATGACTCAAGGGAGCTCAGCCCTTAGTGGATGTTCCAAGGTGAATTAGGGGCTAGCGGCAACTAGTCAATACTACGGGTATTTTGCCTATCAAAGGTGAATCGCAAATACAAGCTTCCGAATCAAATGATGATTTAACGGGCTGTTTGGTTAGGGAATTGATCCTGTCCGTCATCAACACATCCATCGTGAGTTTGCTCCTGCTAGGATCGGATGCGTTCATTCGACGTTTCGGAGGGAACGAGTTGGTCCCTGATTTTAGCGTGCCGGTGGAATGACCTGGTGATGGATGAGTCGACATTGTACGTCAACGGCTCAACGCCATATTTAAGTTCGGATACATGTTTGGATCATTCCGCATGCTTCGGTTACGCAAAGCAAACACATGGTAAATATATGTTTTACCACAAGTAATCTAACTAGCTAACGTCACCCGCAATGGTCACTAGTTCTAAGCCAACTTCTTCAATAATGTTAACTTTTACCACGTAGCTTTTAACATGGATAGCTCCAATGACACTCTCACCAAACTTTGAAACATGTGCAAACGCTTAGCTCTGGATTAAAAGCTAGTTTTTCTCTATCTTTAATATGAGAAAAATGCTTAGAGCCAGCTTAAAAGCTAATCGTCGGAGCTGCACTAAGCCCGTGAAGACTTTCCTAACTCAAGATGATACGCCCTGCTATCCGCACAAAGAGGAGTACCCCTTTTCCCGGGCTTTTCACTTGTCGCCGTGCTGCATATGACGACGTCGACATCGACCAATCTTGATCTTTGTTTCATGATTGCACGTTTCCCGTTCACGCTTTGCTGTCGGGCAGCGAAGCGCTCCACGCCGTGCGGTGACAAATTTTGCGTGCATGCAGGTGCAGCGACGCACGGGCCGCGGGCCGCGGCGTAAAGAGAGCTTGCTTTTGCACTTTTCAGCGGCGGATGCAGAACTGGATTGGTCTCTTCTTCTTCCTCTCTTTTCATTTTTCTTCTTTCCTCCACCTCTTCTTCTTCCTCACCCTTCCCATATTTCCATTAATGCACCAGCTTTAGGGGGCTGGAGGCCCCCGGTAGATCCGCCCCTGACGGCAGATAAACCACATTGGCCTGACGGATGGATTCTGTCTGTTCTCGTAGCGTCAAAAAATCTGCACACGTCGCCGTTGGTGAACAGGCTGTTCGTTTGGGGCTAGCTACAAGCTACTGCAAAGCTTTGGCTCCTAGTCCTACTCCTAGGCCGGAAAGCAAGTGAAGCTGGAGAGATACTGCCGTTCAATCAGCTTTGCAAAAGACCCAATCTTTTCAGATATCTTTCTTTTGCTTCTGTTTATATCTCGAATATTCCATGTGTAGTTTCACGGTTTTACCGTGCCAGAGAATTAGCATTTGGGTAATCTGTAGAGAATTTCTTAACTTTCTAACCAGTACCATACCCTTGGAATACAAGTGGAATGCAGCGCGAGTTCGTACAAAGTTCAGATCCTATCTGTTTCACAGACAAAAGAAAAACTCAAACACGGTTTATGGGGCTGTGTTGGTCGTACAGTAGGGATGTTATACAATGAGAAACGCAGTTTGTACGTAGTATACGACTTTCATCCTAGACAGAATACAGAGTACACTGGGAGCAAAGCAAGACGAGGTCGATCACATCCTGCTCTTCCGGACCGGACCCAGTTCCTTGGCCTTGGCCCTGAGCTCATGCTTCTTGATCTTGCCGGTCGCCGTCTTGGGCAGCGGCCCGAACACCACGGACTTGGGCACCCAGTAACCGGGCAGCCTCTCGCGGCAGAACGCCATGATGCCTCGCGCCAGCGCCGCCTCGTCAGAGCGATCCACGGCGTCCTTGAGGGTGACGAACGCGCACGGCGACTCCCCCCACTGCTCGTCGGCGCGGGCCACGACCGACGCCTCCAGCACCGCCGGGTGAAGGTACACCGCCTTCTCCACCTCCAGGCTGCTGATGTTCTCCCCGCCGGAGATGATGATGTCCTTGGCACGGTCCCTCACCCGTCGCCGTGCCGCACGCCCAGGTCGCCCGAGTGGAACCACCCGTTCTCGAACGCCTCCGCGTTCGCCTTGGGGTTCTTCAGGTACCCCTTCATGACGCCGTTCCCGCGCATCACGATCTCCCCCATCGTGGTGCCGTCGGCCGGGACGGGCGCCATCGTTTTCGGGTCCACGACGTCCAGGCCCTCCAGGCCGACGTAGCGGACGCCCTGGCGTCGGCTGGCAGGCTGTCCCATTCCGGCTTCCAGGCGCACAGCGTGGATGGTCCATAGGTCTCCGACAGGCCGTAGGTGTGGGTGATGCGGAACCCAAGCTTCGACATTGCCGCCAGGACGGAGGGTGGAGGAGCAGCGCCAGCAGTCATGACGTCGACCACACGAGGCAGGGGAGAATCGTGTCGGCCGGAGGGGCGTTGATGATGGTGTTCAGGACGACCGGTGCCCCACGGAAGTGAGTCACGCCCTGGTTGGCTATCGCTGAGAAGATGGCCTTCGCTGAAACCTGTCGCGCATAGTTGTATAACACGAAAAAGAAAAGTCAGTTGCGAATTACAACAGACTAGTAGGTGAATAAACCTGCTCGTCACAGTATAGTGAGAACACAATTTTTTTTATCATGTGTTTGTAATTGTTCGTTACTTCACCAAAAAGCCTTAAATCAAACGTCGTATCCTCAATGACTCAAAATTACAAAAATAAGTTGCCAAAGAAAGTCAGAACCAAACAAGTGATTCAAGAACACTAAGTTTTGGTCAGAATGTACTCCGTCCAGTCCATCAATGTAGGGCGCATTATGATTTGAGGTCAAACTTTGCAAGTTTGATCAATAATAGTCAAATTATGTGTGCATAGTGCACAAAGCTGCATCAATATGTTCATTCTAATTAATTTAAAATGGTGTTATTTTTGGAGCAATTGCCAATATATTGTAAGAGAAATCAAATGTCAAAATTTACGATTTCTCCTTATAAAATACACCTTACATTAATGCATGGAGGGAGGTTTTCAAGGTTGTACATTTGATTTTTGGTTATCTGACATTCTTGGTTGGAGAAAGAATCAAGTATGATGTTTGATGCATGTGAAAAGGAGTTGTTGACTTAGAAAATGTCTAGTCAACAACTGGTTATTTTAGCCCCTCCCATCAACCAAATTTTTCTCATACACTTACACTGTCTTATAGCTACATTTACACTGCTTTATTACTATATTTACAATGATTTGTTCAGTGTAATTTATTGGAAAGAGTGATGTAATTTGGGAATAACACAAATATATGCCAAATTTTTCAAAAAGATTTACAAATTATTTCTATGAATTCCAGAGATCAGAGAAATATATATCAAATTATTCACAAATTCTTCAGAAATAAAAAAAACAAAATCCACACAAGGAGGTGAGAGAGGAGAGATTGTCGCAGGGTGTTCCGTGCTCGCGTTCGTGTGTCAGGCAGGGACACAGGCACCGGCATGATTGCTTGCTTGACGCTGAAGCCGAGCGGACGCATGCACAGGGACGCATCGCACGCACGCACGCACGCGCGCGCCAGCATAATCGCAGGCGGGGGAGGCCGACGCTTCCGCATCGCACGGCCTAAAAAACGGTTGATAACAACCGGCAAATCAACCGGTTGATCATTAGCCTTTCTGTTGACTTATTGTTAGAACTACTTAGTAGCATCTGGGAAACATCAAGCTGGTAATGCCCTAAGTTTTACTGGAAGGACATGAACAACATTGGCTCAGCTAAATGTGAACCTATTCAATCCATTTGTGTGGGTATGTGGCCACACATGCAAGTCCATTAAGCCCATCTTGTTTTCCTGAGTTATGAGCAGTTAGTAAAACTTGTGATATGGAAAAATTCTACCACAACTTATTAACGAGAAACTGAAGTGAATAAGAAAGATAAGCCATCATTCAGCTTCCAATTAAAAACTTCAAGATGTCCTGCTTATACTGGCACAGATGACAATCTCAATTCTAGCCGGACAACATACTAATTCAGTACCTACCAAGTACCAAGTATAGTTTCATGTCATGTTTTTCCTTTTACCTCCATATATCATTTAGGCTAACATCTTTCGTGTTTACACTTCAATGTTCTTGAAAACTGCTCCAAAACATTGATCAATAGCAATATAGCATCGATTACTAGTTTCTCTCCACACATTCATACTTGATTAATTACTCCGTTCATCATTCTTTATTTTCTCTATTAGTGCTAAGCGTTTCATCTACGCAGGATTCCATTTTTTCTCTCTATTTGTCTTTGTTAATATGCCATGCTTCCTTTTTTATATCAATATGCTAAAAGCAGACACCTTGTGACATTAGCATCAAGCAGTTACCAGACTGTGTCTTTTCCAGTGACCTGACTTGTGCTCTTGTTCTTGAAGTTGTGCAAATGACTTCTATTTTGCATAGACATGATATCCAATCAAACATGAGATTCCATGTATGCATCTTCATAAATATTGCTACTTTTGTTTTCTAAAGAGTGTATGTTTTACATGCATTTGATAATAGGTAGTTTAGCATGTGTGTATTTATTTAGAAAAAGAAGTATACCTGACGAAGACATATACTTGTCCCGCAGAGAGCAGCAAGTGTCCATGTATAGCACCAGCCATTGCAATGGAACATTGGCAAAGTCCACAAGTAAACAGCGCCTTCGTTCATTCCCCATATCAAAGCACCACTCAGTGACATTAGGTAAGCACCCCTGTGATGCAATACCACACCCTTTGGGTTAGAAGTTGTCCCAGAAGTATAACCTAGCGCGATACTCTTCCATTCATCCTGTGGTGGTCTCCAAGCAAATTCAGGATCTCCACTTTTCAAGAACGCCTCATACTCGATGGCTCCATTTCTCAAAGCATCTTGGAGGGCCGTTGGATCACAAGTTGGGTCACCAATAACTATCAGAAGTGGCTGTTTGAAAGCACCTTTCTTTTGATCCGCGATAATCCTCAAAGAATCCTCTGCCAGGGTGAAAAATTCTTGGTCAACCATGACAACTTCTGCTGAGGAGTGCTCCAAGAGAAATGCTACAGTGGCAGCATTTAGTGTTACTCGCTGAATTCTTACTCTGGGTAGTAGCAGAATTCTTACTCTCATCGAGAGAGGATGACACTAGGAGTTGGGGTAATTTTCTGGTTTATTTCTCACACGAATGTCATGCCAACCTGAGGGATTGGGGATACATATTTATAGGCTGCTAGCCAACCAAGCATATGTCAAGATGCTAGTCCTAGATGCTAAGATGATGTCCTAGATGCTAGTCCTAGATGCTAAGATGTTGTCCTAACCAGTTAAGGATGCTGTCCTTGATGGACAGCAAGAGCACCATGCTGCCACAAGGACTATATGCTGCAGCCCCACAAAGACCAGCCAACACAGATACTTATCCATTATTCTCGCCCTAAGCCTTGTGCGTCGTCTTGTGGGAAAGTTGAGCCATTCCGGTCCTAGAGCAAAGCTCAAGGAACTTGATCATTCCAAGAGGCTTGGTAAGCAGGTCCACAAGCTGGTCCTTGGTCTTGATGTAGCTCGCCTTGATGCTCTCTTTCTCCAAACAGCCTCGGATGAAGTGGTATCTCACCCGGATGTGCTTACTCCGTTCATGGAAAACGGGGTTCTTTGCTAGGGCCAGAGCGGACTTGCTGTCCATCCTGAGCTCTACCGCTCTAGTGTCTCTGCCGAGGAGATCACCAAGCAGTCGAGCGAGCCAGAGCGCCTGAGTCGAAGCGGTGGAGGCCGCTATGTATTCGGCCTCGCGGTTGGACAGGGCCACCACCTGCTGCTTGACCGACTGCCAGCTAACAAGGCACTTGCCGAGGAGGAAGAGGATCCCGCTCGTGCTTTTGCTGGTGTCGATGTCGCCGGTGTGGTCGCTGTCGCTGTACCCGACGAAGTGCGTCACCCCAGGACACCTAGGGTAGTAGAGGTCGTGGTCGAGAGTCCCCGCAATGTAGCGGATGATCCTCTTCACAGCATGCTAATGCTCCATCGTCGGTCGCTGCATGAACCGACTAACGTAGCCGACGGAGAATGCCAAGTCCGGGCGTGTATGGGCGAGGTAGTGAAGGCTCCCCACAAGATGCCGGTACTGCGTAGCGTCCACCTCCTTCGTCGTGCTGTCGCGGCTCAGCTTCAGCCTCTCCTCCATCGGAGTGAGAGCTGGGTTGCAGTCGGTGAGCCCAGCTAGCTCAACGACGCGCTTGGCATAGGCGGTCTGTCGAAGCGTGATCCTGGAGTCATCCTGGTGCACCTCGATTCCTAGGTAGAAGGAGAGATGCCCCAGGTCACTCATCTGAAAGGTGGCCTTCATCTCTTCCTTGAATGCCGCCACCTCCGCATCCTTGGTGCCGGTGATCACCAAGTTGTCGACGTAGACACCCACCAGCAGAGCATTTCCTCCACTGCCCCGTCGGTAGATGGCCGCCTCGTGCGGGCTTTGCTCGAAGCCCATCCCCTTTAGCGTGGAATCCAACTTGGCATTCCATGCCCTCGGTGCCTGCCGCAAGCCATAGAGGGCCTTGCGCAGGCGGAGCACCTTGCCCTCCTTACCGGGGATCGCAAATCCCGGCGGCTGGTGCACGTAGGCCTTCTCCTTCAAGTCACTGTTAAGTAACGCTGACTTGACGTCCATGTGATGAACATGCCAGCCCTCCTGGGCGACTAGCGCAAGGAGTCGCACGGACTCCATCCATGCCACGGGAGCAAAGGCGTTGTCGAAGTCGACCCCCTCCTGCTGCATGAAACCTCGTGCCACCAAGCGAGCCTTGTGCTTGACGATGGCGCCGGCTTCATCCCTCTTCAGCTTGTACACCCACTTAAGGGTGATCGCACGGTGACCACGAGGAAGGTTAGCAAGCTTCCAGGTGCGGTGAAAGCTCTAGTTTGGTTTTGGTGAATTGATGAAACCCTAAGTGATAACCTAGTTTATCAAGTGATCATGATATAGGTAGCACACTCCAAGTGGTGAAGCAAATGAAGATCATAACATGATGATGGTGATGCCATGGTGATGATCAAGTGCTTCGACTTGGAAAGAAGAAAGAGAAAAATAAAAAGCTCAAGGCAAAGGTATAATTTGTAAGAGCTATTTTGTTTTGGTGATCAAGACACTTAGAGAGTGTGATCACATTTAGGATTGATAGCCGTACTATTAAGAGGGGTGAAACTCGTATCGGAATGCGGTTATCAAAGTGCCACTAGATGCTCTAACTCATTGCATATGCATTTAGGATCTAGTGGAGTGCTAACA